AAATACTAGTAAGACAAAGGAGATGGTGCTAGATTTCCGGAAGCACAGAGAGGAGCCTGCCCCATTGTGTATCAAGGAGGGCTGTGTGGAGAGGGTTTCCTCTTTTAAATTCTTGGGAGTGCTTATTAGTCAAGATCTCACCTGGAAAAACAACACATCTCTGATGAAAGGCCCAACAGAGACTTCATTTCCTTTTCCATTTTTTCCGAAAAAATCAGGTGGAACAATGGCTGATGACCTCTTTCTATCGGTCCACCATAGAAAGTGTCCTCACATATTGCGTTACAATATAGTATGCTGGTTTAACTGTTGCGGACAGGAAGGCCCTACAGAGAGTGATCAATTTGGCACAAGAAACCATTGGTTGCCCTCTGACAGCACTGGATGGCATCGCCAGATCTTGATGCTTTAGCAGAGTAAGGAAGATACTCAGAGATGATTCACACCCTGGTCAGTGTCTCTTTGCACTTCTACCTTCGGGCAGAAGACATATAGCCAGCCGAATAAAGAGGTTTAAAGTTTCTATCCTTGGGCTGTCAGATTTTTAAATACAACCACAGTCACTCCATGCTAGGTTTTTTTTTTAAGTACAATGACAATAAAGATTATACTTATACTTATGAACATTTTGCTGGAAAATTTGAGCACTTTAACCGTTTCTACACAATATAGAAATAATAATTGATTTCAAATAAACATTTGAACGAAGTGAGAGGTGTTTTTGAGGGATTGTTTTTCTTTTTATGACCAAGGGATTGTAAGGAAAATGGCTGGTGATGTGCTACTGGAATGGGTGGGGGCAAATATTTTCAGTCAGATTTTTTTGTGATTTGGGGGAATGGCTAAACTGCAAAATCAGTGAAGTCCTCCATGTAACTTTTTAATTCCTTTTACAACCTGGAAACTGAGAAGGGGGTATATAGGATCTTTTGAGTTTCAAGTAATGTTAAAATATCCATTTATACCTTGGAATCCCTAATCTATCCATATCTATAAACTACAATCTGATCTTTCTTGTAGGGGCTTTTTGGGGTCATGGATTGCTCAGAGGCCATTCACTTAAATGCCAGTTTATAAAAAAGGGTGATCCCGTTTTTTCCAGTTTTTTTTTATCCTCAAGAACATAATTGGTAAGATGCTAGACAGCTGTACAACTATAATCCACTCTAATGTTAGCTAACAGACTGCAAAATGCCAAAGGGAAGGAAAGAGATCAGGATCATCTTGTGGTTGTTATACACTTTCTTGCTGAATATGAAGAAAATACTGTAATAGATAATGGCAGAGGAAGTTAAAGTAAAACTTCTATGTCATACTTTATTTTAAAAAAGATAATTATCTGCAAAATTGTTTTATACTGGCAGCATTCCATGTATTATTTCTTCAATATTAGAATTTTAATTTGATCTGTAGAGCAATATATAGCAAAAAGAGAGAAAGTAGTATCTTGGCTATGTGAACTCAAAAAGTAAGGATTAGAAGTCTATTTAAATATCCGCCATTTATTGGACATAATGAGAGCCAATAAATTTCTATTTTTCTCACACAAGACAAATAGTGACTTGTCTGGACAGGTGAATAGTATTCATAACATTTTGGAACCAAGCTATCTAAAGATTGTCATCCACATAGTTTTCATCTTAGAGAAATATAGTAAAAAAGAGTGTTCTCAATGGTATTCTATTTTGGAATACCATGCTCTAATCTTTTATTTCATTGTACCTTGTAAATTCAATTTGTCTTGTTTTGTATTTGTATGCTTTCAAGTTACTTGTAATACTATCTCCTTTTTATATAGTATTAAATTTTTATAAAGCATCACTAGAATTTTTGATTCAAAAGTTAAGACAGACATTCTTATTTTTAAAAAAAATCAACAAAAATATGTTGTAGTCTGTTTGTTGGGAAAGAGTATCTACACACATCTCTCATGCACAGAGCAACCGTCTGCATCCAAGCCATAGTGAAGGATACAGCAGAGGGAGGAAAAGTAATTCTAAAACCTTGATAACATCTGAATACGGTAAGAGTTGTGCATTTTCAAAATTTATAATATTCAATGTAAGAACATACTTAGAAAAGTCTCTTCTACCCCATTTCACTCCTATTATCATTTGGATAACAAAACCATTTTGTTACTCAAAGTGAAGCTAATATTTGCTATGGCCTTTCATGTGATTCTAAAAATATAATTCAGAACAATTTAATTTACAAAGTTCAACTTTAGAGTTTCATTTCTACAATTGAACTTTTTGGAGAAACATATATGAACAATCCTGCCAACAGGATATATAACTGACTTGGAAATTCATCTAGTGCAGTGATGGAAGAATTTAGCCTCCAAGATGCTGCTGAACTATCAGTAGTCCTTACCTTGAATCTATAAGAATTGTAGCTCAAAAACATCTGGAAGGTCATAGGTTCTCTTTCACGATCTTTCACGGTTGTGATCATGATAGTCAACATTATTTTAATTTATTGCTGTAAACAGTCCCAGGTATTTTAATTCAGAATAGTAAAAAAATCATACGAGTTAAACAAAATTGCTTAAGAACACATACTACACCATAGCGAGTTTTTTTTGTATTTTTATAAAATCTGCAAATATACCACAAAGAATGCATACTAAAAGCTAATATTCACACAATTGATTTAAAGAAATGAATGTAAATATAATTCTTTTATATACAGCTTAAATCCAAATTTACAACTGCATCATTTTCATGGAGGAGGTGGCCTAGATTGAACAGAGATTTGAGTTGTAGAACTGAAAAGATGCTATATAAAACTGGTATCATGAATTCCTAGTGTCTTCAAAAAATAGAGCAGTTCTTAAAGGTTAGTTTCCATTAAAAATAGCTGGGAAATCCACTTATTTTCATATTAAATATGCACATATATTCATAATTGTTAAATTCAGATTCTCAAGCAATATTTCAGGAATATATAATGGACTTCATAAAGTTTCCAGCACAGAAATCCTATCTATATGTTGGATCACTTAGGGTATTTCCCAGCAATAAGGCATCAACAGTAGTAGGCTTTATTTATGAAAGTAACCTGAAGACTGCTAAGTTTTGCTGTATCTAATAAAAATGCACCTATTTCTACCACTTTTTTCCATTTTATGGAAGAATGATTTCCATTCCCTTATTTTAAGTATTTAAATCACAATACCTCCAATTAGTTATTTCATGGATGCTTCCTGTTAATTTTCACCTCCTGACATAAATAATGTGTATTCAATGAATCATTTACATTTAAAGAAAGTGACACTTTGGCCAATTACAGTACAGTTGGTCTTAAGTAAAGTAAAGATTTTAACCATATTTAAAGTGATTTTGACATTAATTATTTGTCTAAGTACATTTTCTTCTAAATCCCTTTTAAATTAAAACTGTGAAATATTAAAATACAATTAAATTGTTTAATCTCTCTTAAAAATGCAAATCACTTATACAATAGAGAAATTAAACAGAAAAATACAAATATTTCTTCAAACTGGAGGATGATTAGAGACCTATTTGTCTTTTTATCCTTTTTCACATACATACATACATACATACATACATGTGTATATGTGTGTATGTATGTATGTATATGTGTGTGTGTGTGTATGTATGTATGTATGTATGTATGTATGTGTATGTGTATGTGTAT